CGGCCCAAGCCTCGAGCACGGTTCCCACCTGAGCACACATGATGATGAGGTCCGTGTTTGTCCTCAGCCAGTCCAGGAACACCTTGACGGTGAGCAGCAGCCCTTCGTTGGTCACGATCTCCAGCTTCTCCTGAAGGGATCGCTCATTCCTGCAGGATTTGTTACTTGAAATGCTTTCCTCGGAATCAGACACATCGTCTGGGAAACAAAGGGGAAAGGAGGTGTTAAAAGTCCTGAGAAGCCCAACTCTACCGGCAGGAGAACAGCGCTGGGTCAGTAAGAGCTGAACTTCTTGGTGCCTCCACACATCCTCACAACACCAGTCTGTCCATTAAGAGTGCATCCCTGTCGCATTTCCTTTGACGGCACAGTCCCTTATTTTAATTGCACGGTCATTTCTGCCTATCGACACAGCAAACATCATTCAATAAACCCTTGGAGTGAGAAGGGAGGAAGCGATTTATCCAGAAACCATCCCTGCTGGAGTGTCAGGACCATTAAAGAGTTCAAGCCTTGTAACAGCACAGCTGAGGCAAGGAGAGCTCAAACCTAAACAGCACACGGCTTCATTTATTCAGCCTGGCACGTTCAAGCTCTCTTTTCCCACATCTGTAGAGGTATCTCAGCCACACTCGTTGAATCCATCCCCGGAGCCGCAACATCTGTGTAACCCAGTGAAGGAAAACGTTAAACAGACCAAAAATAATTTGTTTCTTCCTTTACTCCCATCGCTTTCAAGTGGCTGCACGGCAATGCCGGGAGCCAGTAAACATTAACATGAGCTAATATTCCTCCCTTCAAATCCCAGACCAGGCGAAGCCTCAGCCTTGCCAGCGCTGCACTGAATTTGGCAGCACGATGCAGAAGTTTCCTTGCTCGAGGGGAGCTGGGAGGAACGACAAACAAGACCAAGCAAGCCCGTGTGGTTTTATCTGAAGCACAAACAACTCCCTGCAGCGCATCGGATCTCCCTTTCAAGCCTTTTTTTTTTTAAATCCTGGAACATTACTGGGTAACAGAGACGTTGCAGCTCCACCTGCTGTGCATCTGCGGCTTGGTTCAGGCCTGAGCGCTGTGAGGGACACAGAAAAGACGCCCTCAACTCCTCTCAAAGGCACCCAGGTCAGCTCTTACAGACAAGAGCTCCGCAGAGCTGATAACGTAATATCTCACTGAGAGCTTCCCGGGCTGCACCTGCACTGCCCGTCACCAGAAGTGCCAGGAAGTCTCCCATTACAGAGATTTCGCAGGGCAAAAATGGATGATAATCCCAGTTTTTAATACCTGCTGAAATTCTCTTCTGTATTATCAGGGCTGCTCAGCATTTAGCCTGTCGAGCAGAACAACAGATAGTCCCGTAAGAGGGACATGGAGCTGTTGGGACGAGTCCAGAGGGGCACAAAGCTGAGCCAGGGGCTGGAGCAGCTCTGCTGCGAGGACAGGCTGAGGGAGCTGGGGGGGGTCCGCTGGG